CATACTCGTTTGGGTCAAACATACATGTTGGGTTGAAACAGACTCGCTACTAATATAATTATTTATCTGTGTTGTATATAATACTTTGTGGAACTCACTAATCATTGACTTATAGTTGTAGATTAAATGTTTAAGTTACTTCAATTAATCATGGGAAGACGAATGCGTGACTGTACACAGTCGTCAGTAGCTTTAGTATTTGTGATTTCGTGTTGTTACCATACTTTGATTTTTGGATGATTGTCTTTTGGGATAAATGTTTTTCATGGTACTATTTTATGAAAAGGGTATTTTACTTTATCAAGGTTGTAAAAGTCGTTAGGCGGGAGTCAGGTACTCAAATAGGGTTAAGAGTCTAATCGGTTTATGTGTAGATTGATCGACGCCTAGGCGGGGACCCTTAATTGTATTAGAATATATATATATTTTTAATTCAATATTACTTATATCATAACAAAATTAATAAATATGACCAATTTTATGATTATTTATTAATTTTGATATAATATATACAATTTATTCAAAAATTATTATATTCTAAGAAATAAATATTTGAAAATGAGAAATATTAAAATTTGAAATTTGAAAGTTTGAAAATTTGAAAATTTAGGAGTATTATTTGAAATTTAAACCATTTGACATTTAAATTTTAAAATTTTGAAAAGTTTTGATGTAATATTTGAAATTTTGAAAAACTTTAAATTTTAAAAAGTTGAAAATTCTGGCCACCTAACTCTGCCTTGGCCCACCTAAACTGATGTTGATCGGTTCCGTCTAATTTGATCGCCTAGCAAACTCGTAGGCAGTTTCAGTCTGCTTAGCCCGCCATTTACAACACCGTACTTTATTTAAAAATAAAAAAAAATTATGGTGAAATTTGGGATGTTACATTATTTATGTGTGTATGTGTTTGTTTAATGCTCCTAAGTTCATGAATTTTAAAAATTGAAATCAAATATCCTCTTTTTTTTAAATACTTGGTCACTATATCAAAGCAATTGTAAAAATCAAGAGAGATTATAAAAGAAAATTAATGGATTCTACATATCATGATTTTATAAGAATAAGAAAATAAATATAAATGAAACATAGAAAAGTATTTAATTTCTCTTATAAAATACAGGATTTTGAAGGGAAATGGAAGTAATGATGCTAAGAGAAAACGAGAGTTAATTAAAATAGTCTAAAAATACATCCATCCGTAAATGTGGGTCAAAATTGTCTATGTGACATTCCATATAAACAACAAAACTTGGAGATATGTTATAAGTTATAACAAGTCAAAATGGTTAAATAAAAAAAAACAAAATTGAAAGTTTAAAGGCTAGTTGAGCTTAATCATAACTTCATGGTTAGATGAGAGTTAATGGTCATTTAAGTAAAAAAAAGGGCAAAGCAAAATAAAACAAAACACGACTACGTCAAAGCACATGATGATTCATGCAATCTAGTCTTGATCTATACATAATCTATTCTTTTTGTTTGTTGTTGGATACATTTAATGATGCACATTGGAAAATAGGTCGTAATATTGTAATAGTGTTTGTTGGGTTAGCTCATTAACAAAATTCCAAAAGTAGGACCCATGTTATACTATCCGATCAACGTTTTCCTCGTAATAAAGCGTGAGATCAAAAGTCAACAATTATGCAAATGACCTCCAGCCTAGCTGGTAGAGATGCACCGGGTTTTACAACCCACAATGGGGTGCAAGGTCGGGAGGTCGAATCTCAAAGACCCCGTAATTCCTTGTGGGGGAATTTTCACTGGGACCCATATGGGTTCGATCATCCACTTTGGGATGACTCGAACTCGGGTCCTCTTCTGAAATAACGGAGGAGAAGCTTCTGTTGCACCAACCGTCGGTTCCAAAAAAAAGTCCACTATTATATTTTTCAAAGATCTATTCCAATAAACTATGGCATCGTGCAATTATTATATCCTCAAATTAACAAATATATATATATATATATATATATATATATATATATATATATATATATATATATATATATATAAATAAAGGTAGGTTCAAATGTTTCTTATATCCATTGTGTGTTACAATGCACCAATAAAAATTTAGTAAAAATTAAATTATTATTTAATCAAATAAAGATAGATATTAAATGATATGGGATAATGACTTAAAATGGTAACATATTATTCGATTTGTACATATTTGGTCACTGAGTTTTTTTCGTCCACATTTACCCCTTAAACTCGGTAAACTGTACACATTCAGTCCTTATGACATGTTACTCCAGGTTAGCCGGGAAAAATGACTTGATAGGGTAATATATTTTTCATTTTGTACACATTTAGTCCTTAAAATTTTTGTACATATTTAGTCCTTAACATTTTTTTTTGTTTCAAAATAAGTCCTTTTTTTGTACTCATTCAGTACTTATGAATGATTTCTTTAGGTTTTTTTCACGACATCTTACGTGAGACGATCATTGATGAGGTGCTTGGGGTTGTTGATGCTTATGTCCAATGCGATCTCGACTGCTTGGTTGCGTAAGTCTTGTGGTTTGGCTTAGGTCTTGTATTTTGAACATCGTAACTTCTTCATACGGACTGAATGCATACAGTTTAACAAGTTGAAGGGGTAAATGTGGACAAAAAAAACTTAGTGACCAAATGTGTACAAATCGAAAAATATATTACCCTTTTAAGTCATTATCCCTAAATGATATCCATACTTATAATCCTTTTTTTATGGAGACTAATAAAATTCGTTATTAATGTCAACAATGATAATCTTTCAGACTGCATTCGTATCGAGAAGAATAAGAGTGTATTCTAGCAGAATAAGAGTGTATTCTTGTAGAATACACTTTTGTTCTTCATATTTAATGTAACTTTATTGTATTTTAAGTGAGTGAGTCCTGAAACAAAACACGAACTCATACATAAAAACGTAGATGTGAATTCATTATGAAAAAATGTTATTGCTGACATTAATGACGAATTTAATTAGTTTCCATAAAAAGAGAATTACAATTATGGACATCATTTAATATACATACAATTATGTAAATCATTTAATATCTATCTTTATTTAATTAAATAACTATTTAATTTTACTAAATTCCTATTGGTGCATTGTAGCACACATAAAAAAAAGTTGAAAAAAAATAAAAATCATAAAATCGAGTGTAGTACTATATCGGAGAGAAAAAAAATGGATCATTAAATTTGAATCATGGATCATAAAAAGTGAATCATGGATCATAAAAATCAGACATGCTTCAATTTTAATGATCCAAAAAAAATTTTTCCAATTTTTTTTTCTCTCCGATATAGTACTATCTTCGATTTTATGATTTGTATTTTTTTTCAATTTTTTTAACGTGTCCTCACCGTAAAAAGAGTCCTCACCCGATCCTGTTTTTCTCTCTCTCTCTATATATATATATATATATATATATATATATATATATATATATATATATATTATATATATATATATATATATATATATATGTTCCCGCGCAAAGCGGCGACGATAAATAACTCTTTTGACGAATAGTTTTCTTACGGAGTAATAATTATTAGATTTTATTATTAGTTATTATGTAATAAAAAAAATACCACTTTTAAATAAAATATTTTATGTTTAGACTTTATATTTATAATGTCTATTTATACATTTGATGTAATTAATTAAGATCGGTGTCGAGTTTAAGAAATGTAAATTAGTTTATATACACGAATTTAATATTTTAAAATTTTTATTTTACTCCAAATTAAATTTCTTATTAACCTTCCTTAATTCAAGTGTTTAAATTTTTATCAAATATTATTGATTTATTTATGTATATCTGTTTTGTACAAAAAGTTTTGTATCTTATACCTCTTAAAATTCAAGAAATGACTAATATGTTTTATAATATAGTATAAGATATATATATATATATATATATATATATCTATATATATATATATATATATATATATATATATATATATATAGAGAGAGAGAGAGAGAGAGAGAGACTTAGGTTATTCTATTCAACTAAGTATTGTATGAATGTATGAATCATTGTGGACCAATCATTTTACTTATTTTTGGAAAGTGAATAATACATATTATTAAATTAAAGATAATTAAAAAATACCATATAATTTCATTCTAAGGGTATTTTAATCAATTAACATAAATTTAAAAAAAGAAAATTGCATATTTTAAGGGAAAATAAATTCTATTAATTTTAAAATTTTGATTGTATGGATGATAATTATCCTAATTCGCAAATTCTGACGGAATATGTTTATCAATATATTGAAAAATAACAAATATTATTGAACCATACAAGAATACACATTCTGACATAATATATTTTTTGATTTAATGAACTTCTTGAAGAATAACAAAATTTTGGATACAAGTTAAAAAGAATTACATTATATTCTTAGAAAAGAAAAAAATTATATACTATTCTATGAGAATGTTACACTTATTAATAACAAAAAAACACAATATATAAATCATTCTACCAGAATATATTATTACATATATTTTTTTCATTATATTGTATATTATTCTGGTAGAATAATCCATTCTTTTTGGAAGATTGGTGGTCATTGTTCATCTTCATCCCATACAATGTTCATCTTCAAGATTCTATTATGACAGAATCAGAATTCAAGATTCAATTCCAGTAGAATGTTGTAAGTTTCATATGTACCATGTTTTGCTTTGATATCTCTCGTTTCGTTCCCAGCCAAGAAAACAAGAACATTCTTGTTCTTGATTTCATGTATACATGCAAATGAGAAATACAACCACTCATTGTTATTGCTTCACCTTCTTTCCATGGCAATTTCAATCAACAAACATCACATCGAATTCTATCAAGCAGTCATGGGTCCATAGCTCAGTGGTAGAGCATTTGACTGCAGATCAAGAGGTCACCAGTTCGAACCCAGTTGGGCCCTATTTTTTCTTTTGTTGTAATTTCACTTTTTGCCCTTATTTCTACTTTTTTGTAATTGAGTTAATAACACCTAATATCAAAGCAGAAATTATACTTTTTGCCCTTATTTGTAATTATACTTTTTTGTAACCACTTAATAACACCTAAAATCAAAGCACAAATTTATTCATATAACATGGAATAGCAAATCAGAGTCATAATCACAAAATTAGTTGAAACTTACCAGTAACAATGTCTCTGAAGAACTCAACGGAATCTGTCAACTCAGCAGCATTTTTGCCCTTCCACTTAACGGTGAGTGACAGAATAGCTTTATCCTCCAGATACACACCAATCCCCGTGAACTTCACGAAGTTACCTTCGATTTCCATACCTCTCACACCTTGCGCATGATAGAAACCACGATTTAGACGATTCAAACTCCAATTAACAATAAAATAGTAAACCTAACTGAAAAGATGAAAGTTACATGATTTTTTATCGGTGGAAGATCGAGTTTAATTACTTATTTGAATATGGGAATTAATATCTGCGCCGACGAGGAACAAAGTGGTGGTTGCACCAGGAGGCTTGACGGATGGTGGAAATACGACGGATTCGATCTGGAGACTGGTGGGGGACGGCGGTGGAGCCATGGTAATACAGTCGGAGTTGAACGGAGAGAGTGAGAGAAGGTGTTTGACTGATGATTTAGCTCTTTGCCCGATCTGTTAGTCAGGTGATGAACACGGGGAAATAAAGCCCTTCTTTTTGTTTCGGTTCATTCTTTTTGTTGGAAGACATCGATGACGGTTGTATATAAGAAAATAAATTAGGTTAAAAGTGAATGTTAGCATGATTATAGGGACTATTTGTGGAAGCTATGTATCAAAATACTAAAATACCCTTGTTTATTTATTTAATTGTTTAAATTTTTATTTAATTTTGATTTGCCCATATTTATGCATACAATCACACAATACTTACTTAGAACACCTGAACCTATCTCTATCTCTCTCTCTCTATATATATATATATATATATATATATATATATATATATATATAAGATCAAATGAGAACCATTAAATGTTAGGAACCCTAAGAACCATTAGTTTAAACTAATAATTAATGTTATTTTTGTATTTTTCTAGTATTTTGATTTTTCTTTTTTTAAGTTTTTATAAACTGCAAAAATTAATAAGGGTATTGTAGTCAATATTCCTATAAAATATTCATAACTACTAAATATCATATTTGTTTCTCATTATATCACCAACACAAAACGCAAAACTCTACCACCACTTTTTTTCCCTCTACTTCTCTACTTAAACACCACCACCATCGGTAACCAACCCGACCACCACCTCCACCCACCCCGTCGATGTCTCTCCCCTCTCCCATAATTTTTGGTTGTTCAGATCCATTTATTCTCTATAATCCACATGAAAAGCACTAGATTTGTTCAGATCTGGTCCAGTACCGCCACTACAAACTAGCGACGACTTTCCACCAACCTCCAACATCAGATCTGCTACACGACCATCACCTCGGTTGATGTTGCCACTGTTACTATGCAGACCTTCGAGCTCCGGTTCGAATATATGTTTTCTATCACCATCGACCTCCAGATATGTGAGTTTCGGCGACCACCGTTTCCGAACGTTGCTCTACTGTCGTCAGATCTGGATCTAAAGTCGACCTACCACCGTCGAACCACCACATCTAGTTAGACTGAGTGATATTATTTGTTTTTTCCTTTCTATGACGGTATTCTTAGTCCACATTTTGCTAGATCTTGTTATATCTATGTGAATTAGGGTTTTGACAACTACAATATGTTATCTCCAGTGTTAGTTTTGTGGTTTCGATTTGTCATCGATGTTTCCTTAAGAGATCCACAAACATCATGTGTTTTTTGTTCTAAATCTGGAGGATAACATATGTACACTCGTTTGCTTTTGTTTACATGTTTTTAGTATTTTCATTCTTTTCCATTCTTCCACACCTGGTGAAAACGAGTTTCTAGTTGTTATTATTAACAAATCCTTCCCCGCTCTTTCTATGACATGTTGGTTTACTTCAGATTGTCGTTGGTGTGCTTTAGATCTATATAAGATATGGTAGTTTTGTAACATCCTATTTTGTGAAGTTTCTTATTTCAGGATTGCGGACAATAAATGGATCGAGTAAAGGATTTGGGCTTCAAGGGAATAGGGTTTAGACCTTATTAAATGTTGATAATATTGGTTATATGATCTAAGCCTTTGGGTTGTGTTTTGGAGCCAAAGGGTAAAATGGGACAAGTTATATGTTAGGCTTCTTGCATGGATTATGTTTTTTAGTTCGACATGTGTTAAGCAAAAATTAACTAGATAGAAGTGCGGGGCTCGTCAATACCTTTCTGTGGATATAAAGATCACCAAAAACGGAGTTGAAGCAAAGAAGTTATGGTTGTTTGAAGTTGAGGTGGATTTGGGTGAAAAGTCGTGGCGACGGCGTGGGGATCAGAGCCCACGTCGTGGGGATCAGTTAGGCCTAAGCCCATGATTTTCAGGTTTTTCAATGTATTTAAGCTTAATGTTCTGCATTTTCGGCATTTTATCAGCCTCCATCACCTCTAGCACCCCTTGGGAGAAACCTTAACATCCACCTTCAAGTTTTGAGCTTCTACCATATCCTCTCTCCTCTTTTGGATGATTTTTATGATATTTTGATGAAGTTTGAAGATCAAGAAGGTTCTTTTGGTTTCAAGGAAAGTTGTTTCAAGTGTGGATCCATCAAAGGCACTACCTTTTTGAACCATTGTGCGTATAAAGTTCCAATATCGCTATCTAGTTCATTAGATCTTGTCATTTGGGGTTTTTGGCACTTTTGGTCCATTTTATAGGTGATCTTGGAGTTGAGTGGACTCCAACATCATTTGATTAGTTTGGAATGTCTCTTGGACCCCATGGAATAGGAAAAATTATGATATTTTTTCTTCCATTTTATCCATTAAAGTTATCTTGGTCCTTTAGGCCATTTTGGTATATTAAAGTTTAGATCTTGAATGATTGGGGAATTATTATGGATAAAATTGGAAAATTTATCCCTCTAAACATGTTGTTGATTCGGATATGGAAGTTGGAGATTTGGACTTAATGGATTAAGTTGAGAAAGATGCAATTTGGGTACCTTTTGAGACTTAAAATCTAGATCTTGGTCGTTTAGACCTTCCTAATGGATAAAGTTAGAAACTTTATCCATTAAGACCTTGAAATTTATCATATCCGAGCTTTGGAGCTCTTGATATCGAAATAAAATGGATTAAGCTCGCTTGAGTTTTTCAGACCAGTCCCCACGGTGTGGCCTTAGGCTACCACAGCGTGGCGACTGGGGAATCATCGATTGTTTTGGAATTTAGTGCCCACGACGTGGCCAAGGAAGGTCGCATCATGGAGGGCTGTTGTTTAGCAATTTTGACTTTAACTTTGACCGTTGACTTTTTGACTTCTTTGACTTTTAGTCAAACTTGAGTAGGACTGAGCATTTGGCTACAAATTGGTTTCGGTTTGGATTTAGGAAGCTTGGGTTGGCTGTGCTGTTGCTGAGGTAGTTGTTGAACTTCTAATGAGTTGTTCAGGTGAGTTTTTCCTCACTGTACTCAGGGTTCGAAGGCACAAATGTCGGCCCACTAGATTATGTTATGTATCCTTGTATATAGGATGTTACTATGCAGTAGCGATCTGTTAGATCGGTAGATCTGTATGATTACCTGTACTTGCAGGTGATATGTTTATGTTTATCTTTTGCATATGTCGACATAGTGCGGTTGTGGGATGAGGCTTTACTGCTATGTGTGTAAGCCAATAAACTGAGACATTCTAGTTCGATGACTGATTGGGCCAGGGTATTCCAGTCCGATGATTGATTATGCTGAGGCAATCCAATCCGATGACTGTGATCCGAGGGTAATCCAACTCGGTGGTTGTGGACTCGAGGGTAATCCAGTCCGATGACTGTGGACCCAACATGCATAATTGTATATGTTCTGTTGTGTGGGGTATTTTGGGGGAACTCACTAAGCTTCATGCTTATAGTATGATTTCATGGTTTCAAGTACATCAGATGATCAGGGGGAGGTGAAGGCTTGATCGTGCACATCATCCTAGATTTTATGTGTTTTACGATTTTGGGATACTTTGATTCATGATAACAACTTTTGAGAAGTTGCTTTGTAAAACTTATTGATTTTTGGAATGATTTTAAAAATGAAAATTTTGCCTTGATTTTGGGATGTTACAGGTTGGTATCAAATCCTTAGTTTGAGTGAAATGGAAAAGCATTCGTGTGAATCCAGACTCAAACTAAGGATCTATAAAAGTTTTCAAAATTGTTTTCAAAGGTAACCAATGAAGGATGAGATGTGTGCGATCAACCGGAGCATGAAAGTGTACCCCAAGATACCCACATTGTTATTTGCTTATGATGATTATGATAGAATTGCATGCTAGTTTGTAGGCTAGGTATCCTTAGGAATCCTTAGTTTGAGTGAAATGGAAAAGCATTCGTGTGAATCCAGACTCAAACTAAGGATCTATAAAAGTTTTCAAAATTGTTTTCAAAGGTAACCAATGAAGGATGAGATGTGTGTGATCAACCGGAGCATGAAAGTGTACCCCAAGATACCCACATTGTTATTTGCTTATGATGATTATGATAGAATTGCATGCTAGTTTGTAGGCTAGGTATCCTTAGGAATTGTATGATAGAATTGTCTGATGTGTGAGGCCTAATAGCCTAGGAGGATCTCTTGTATGCTAGATGGAATTTACATCGTTACTGTAGTTTCTTAGTGTGTGCATCATAATTGTACATAACTAAGATTTGATATCTTCATAATGTTTGATTTACCTTATTTCTTGTTCCTTGTCTGGTTTAGGGCTTAGGGTAGAATCAAGTATTCGACTGTTTATGGAATCTAACGTTATGTATGATTTGATGGGTTTTAAGCATTCTAACACTCCTATGGTATACATGCAACCCTAGCAACCTTGGATCTATGTTTTCTCTAATATACATGCAAATTTGATTTCCAAGGTTTACATCCTAACTAGCATGTTATGGGGAACTTGTAATACAAAAATCAAGTAGAATAGCATACCTTTTAGTAGCTTGGATTCCTTGATGACTTTGTGAGCCTAGCACCCCAAATGTGATGCCTTAAATGCTTCACACAACACCACAATACTTGGAATAACTTGAGAGAAGTTCACTATGACACAAAATCGGCTTGCCCTCTAGTTCTTACACTTAGTACCGATTTTAGAAGCTTATGGGTCCTTTTATAGTTGTGTCACAATTAGGGTTACACCATGTAAACCCTAATTGAAATGGCTTTTCATTTCCCATGATCCATGGGTTTATAACCCCCATGGACTATCCATGGAGCACCTTATGGGTTTTACCCCAACTCCATAAATCGTGGATCATTAGCCCACTATATAAGAATGGATGATTTACACAATCAACCCCATATATTTAATTAGTCTCCTTTTGATCACCAAATTAATTCTAAATTGATTCTTGACCAATACTAATTAACTAATATTATTAATATATTAGAACTTATAATATATTAATAAACCTTAAGTGTCCTTTTTCTCATTTTTGTA